ACACATACACACACATACACACATATACACACATACATACACACATACATACACACATACATACATACACACACATATATACACACATACATACATACACACACATACACACATACATACATACATACATACATACAAATACACACACATACACATACACATAGTACATACTCTACCCCTATGGACATCCCTGAAATCATATGGATTTTATATACATAGATATATATATATCTACAGTATATTGTTTAATGTACTATAATATTGCATTTAAATATTTTGTTTTTAATTATTAATATAATATACAACAACAACAAGCAAAACAAAATTTAAAAAAAAATAAATATTTATTTTTTTAATAAAGTGAAAGTATATAAGCATTTATTTTTTCACATTTTTTTACATCACTGGTAATACATAATAATATGACGTCAATATTAAGGTTAGACACACAMACACACACATACGTATATACCTGTATTACCTGCATATCTACCTAAGCTGCTATGTATATACAGTATACCCCAAATATATTGATGATCAAGGATCAGGCATTTTTTTGAGTGCCTATTTTGTTAGTGTTTGTTAGTATACAAATACAATGACAGATCAATAATTTTTTGTTGATAGACATACCTAACCCCTACCCCTCCCTTCCCCCTGTGTTATGTCGTAAACGATAAACATAGATAACTAGTCCATACTATATAGTCAATAGTAGTCAAACTATTGATAACTTTTTTTAAAAGTTAGCAAAAAATTTATTTTAATATATTATATGTTAGAGAAAAATATTTAGTTATATTTATTTTTGGGGTAAATAATTAATTTTTTTTATCACAATGTTTTACATAATATTATGAGATGAATGTATTGTTTATATACTCTATATAAATAAATTTTAAATAAAATATTAACTAAATTTCTAAATTAAATTATTTATGTATTATAATCTGTGATAATAATCCTATGATATATTATATAATAATAATAGTTTAAAAAATATATTTTTTTAAAATTAAGATAAAAATTCAAGTGATATTAACATTTTTTTCAAAAAATGTATTTTATTTTTTGATAATTACAAAAAATTATTATTAATTAAAAGCTACCTTGATCATTGTTAATACTGCATCTCTCTCTCTCTCTCTCTCTCTCTCTCTCTCTCTCTCTCTCTCTCTCTCTCTCTCTCTCTTACTTTCACTAATCAACCAAAAAAACAGGTATTTTATATGAACTAAATAATTAAATAAATAGTAATAATAATAATAAAAGTACATAAAATTTAGATCAATATTTAATTTTATTTATTTTTTTTAAATCACAAAACATTAATTACAAAAATTATAGATAGTGTGTATGTGTATGTGTATGTGTATGTGTATGTGTATGTGTATGTGTATGTGTATGTGTATGTGTATGTGTATGTGTATGTGTATGTGTATGTGTATGTGTATGTGTATGTGTATGTGTATGTGTATGTGTATGTGTATGTGTATGTGTATGTGTATGTGTATGTGTATGTGTATGTGTATGTGTGTGCGTATTTGTATTTAAATATAACAATAAAATTTTATCAGTAATTAATTTAATTAAAAATTAAATTAAATGTTAAGTATTTTTGTTGTTGATAATATTATTTACTCAAATATATATATATATATATATATAAACTAATATTATATGATTAATTTTTAAAGATTAAATTTTTAATATTTAGTGTTTTTGTTATTGTAATAAAAGTTAATTCAAAATAATAATAATAATGATTTTAAAACATTTAAATACATTGAAAATAAATTTTAATTATTATTAATTTTATATGCGTTTAGATATTTGATTAAATTAAAATTAAAAAATAAGCTTATCTTTTATGATATATATCTATCGTATATATGATGTTTAAATCAAATCAAAACAAAAAAATTAAATTAAATAAATATTTATATTTATTAGCTGAACAAAAAAATGTGATATTTTATATATATATATATATATATTATCTAATATATGATATAATATTTTTTTATTTAATAAATAAATTATTTAATAAATTTCAAAACTGATTGTTATCTCTCAATTAGTAGTTAACGGGGTAGAGTACAGTGTATACTAGATATACTGTACATATACTGTATATATACTGATGATTATCTAATAAACATATATACAGTATATATATATTTATTTGATTAAAAAAAAATTATTATTATTAAAAATAATAATTTATATGTTATATAGTGAGAGATATATAGATAGAGGATATTAAAACAACTAAATAAAAATTAAATAAATAAATAAATATGTATTTAATATAACATATTAAATTAACACATTATGCTACATATGATAGATAGCACAGGTATGTACTGTATGTATGTATGTATGTACACGCATATATATACTGTAGGTTTTCCTGTTGTTGTTGTTTATCTCATAATAATAATAATAATAATTTAATATATTATACAGTATATCAATACATACAGAGAAAGAGAGAGAGATAGAGAGAGAGAGAGAGAAAGAGAGAGAGAGTATACTGTATATTATAAAAACCAATATATATGATATTTTTTTATAATATAATATAATAATAATAAAGTATAAAATATATTAAACAACTGTTCACAGGTTCACCTCAATACCGACAACAACTGGTGTATTGAGAAAGAGAGAGAGAGAGAGAGAGTACAGAGAGAGAGAGAGAGATAATTTGGGGAACAGTTACCTATGATATACATGTTTTGGGCCCCCATTTATCGCTCGGCACTAATTGGTGGCACAACTACTACTACTACAGTATATATATATATATACTGTACTAACCGGTTGTTCATTATGTGTTGTTTTTCCCATTAAGAGAGACAGAGAGAGAGAGAGAGAGAGAGAGAGAGAGAGAGAGAGAAAACCAAATTTCTAGTAAACATTACCCTAGAAATGTAAAAACTTTTCATTTTAAATCAATATATACTATATATACTGTATTAATATTATTGATTATTATTATTATTTTACAAACAATTTTTGTTTTCTATGTCATAGGTATTAGAGTACATCCAGGCAATCGGTTAGTTAGTTAGTTAGTTAGTTAGTGAGATCTACCAGTGCTTCAGGGGATAGGGATATAGAAAGAGAGATTGAAAGAGAAAGAGAGAGACAGAGAGAGAGAGAGAGAGATTAGTTGTCTTATCATTTGATAACAATAATAACAAAAATATTAAAAATAAAAATTGATTGCTCTCTCTCTCTCTCTCACTCTCTCTCACTCACTCTCTCTCTCTCACTCACTCACTCACTCACTCACTCACTCACTCACTCTCGGATTTAATATGATTAAGTACTGGTAGTATTTGATGGGATGATAAAAATCTCTATACATTTTATTTACATATATATATATTACAGTATATATATACAGGCATTAATACAGTATTAATTTACATATGTATCAAGTATTTAATTATTAATAATATTAATAATTATTTTAAAAAAAAATTTCAAATATAACATGTATAATACATATGATATATTAGTACAGTATATATATATATGTGATACCAGTGCACAAACCCTACCCAAACAACCACTTTAAACTGCCTGAGCTGCTAACTCATCACTCAAACATACATACATACATACCTTTACAGTAACTTTATAGTTATCATTGAAATATTAGTTATAGAGAGAGAGAGAGAGAGAGAGAGAGTCAGTAAAACAAACAGAGAGAGAGAGAGAGAGAGAGAGAGAGAGAGAGAGAGAGAGAGAGAGAAATATAAAAAAACTTTCACTTTTTACTGAGTAGTTGTTATAACTTTATACAACAACTGTATGGTTTGAACTACAAGTGCATTGAGATTGTAATGTATTAGTTATATAGTATAGTAGTACTGGTAGTAGTAGTTAGTAGTTGTGTAGTAGTGTTTGTCAGTGTAAAAGAGTCAGTTCCCTCATTAACGCCAGTGTCTCAGTCACTCTCAGTCAGTGCACAGGTATATACAATACTATTACTACCTAACCATCAACCAGCCAAACCAACCAACCAACCTACCTGTCCACACACATATATATATAAATAAATATAAATATATATATATATATAAAATGTACAACACTTTTCCTATTCGCAAAATTTTTTTAAATACTTAATACTATTACTACTACTGTATTATAAATTATAATACATATACAGTATATATATATATATAAATAAATACTGTTTTTTTTATAAATAATAATATGGCATTTGAAAAATTATTTTTGTTATTTTAGTATATAAAGTGAAACAAAATTTTTTTAGATTTTAATATTTAATTTTTATTTAATAATATTTTTGTGTGTATCTATTTATATATATATATTATAGATAGATATATATATATAAAAATAATGTCAACTCTAATAATAATAATACTAAATGTTTTCATTTATTATTAATTAAAAGTTTTCCAACAATTTGTTTATTATTTGTATAATTATTATTACAATATTATTGTTGTGTTTAATAAATCATATATGGTTTGTGTGTTTTAAGTTAGTTATCATTTTTTTTTTAGTTTCAATTATTATTATTATTATTAAAAACTATATTTTTATTAAACAAAAAAAATTTAGTTCAATGAATGAGTGCATCAATTTTATTTTGTAGTAGTTTTTTATTATTAATTTTTTTTATTAATTATAATTAAATAATGTTTGTTTGTTAACAACAATAATAATAATTTTATTTTTTTAGTGTTTTTAATTAAATAAAATTTAATTTGCATTTTATATTATTATTATTATTATTAATAATAATAATTAGTTAGTTAGTTAAACAATGCAAACATGTTGTGTGTGATGTGTGTGTATGTATTGCAATTGATTTTCATTTAATAATTAATTTTTTTTTATATTTAAATTAATTATTTAATTAAAACTAATAATAATAATAATAATAATAAATTTGTGGTATATTTTTATTGTGCAATTGATTTCCTATACAACTATATATATATATAAATATAAAAACAACACAACAATACACACATAACGGACTAAAATAATTTATTACTGAAATTATTTTTTATTATTATTATTATAATTATCTGTAAGTGTTTTAAATTTTTTATTGTTGTAATTTTATAAATATATATAATAATAATAATAATATTTTAATTTATGTTTATTTTATTTTTTTTTTGATGCTTTAATTCCTATTTCCTAATTTATATCACGTATTCAAATACATTTTAAAAACACAATTGATTTATAGTACAGATATTATTATGATTTTAAATTTTTCAAACAAAAAAATTATTTGCAAATTATTTATAATAATTAATACAAATTATAACTTTAAATTAAATAGTTTTGTTTATTTTTTTTTAAAAAAAATTTTTGATAATAATAATTAATAATTACAATATATTGCTAAATATAATGATATTTATACTAATCAATAATTTTATTTTTTGGTAAATAATTTTTTTTAAAAAATATTTTAGTTAAACTATATTAAATATTTTCAACTTTTTATTCAATTATTGCTATTAATTAAAACTAAAAAATATAGTAATATTACTATCATTTTTACCTTTTGATTAAAAATTACATTAAAAACTTATTAAACATATTTAACACACATATTAATAATGACACCGAGTTTTATGAAACATTTATTAAGATTATTATTATTATTATTATTGCTAAACACTTAATAATATTTTTACTGTATTTATAAATGAAATTTTTTTATTTAAAAAAAATGTTTTAATAGTAAATTAATAGTTAAACTTTGTTTTATCAGTAAAATTAAATGATATATATATTATAAAAAATTTTCCTGAAAATAACATTCATTAGTAATTTTTTGTTTTATTTTTTTTTATATTAAACATTAAAATTTTACTCAAAATTTTTATAATATATAATTTATACTGTTTATATCATTATAATATTTAATTATTTTTTATTACTTATTTTATATATGTATATAAATCTATTAGAAACATACAAACAATAATAATAATAATAATAAAATATATAATATAATAATAATTTTTGAATTATACGAAAATTTTTTAAAAACTAAATTATATAATAACTATGACTTTTCAATGACTATCATATAAGGTATACTAAATATACACCAAATAAAAAAATATTTATTTATTTATTATGAAAACAAAACAATACATTATTTATTACTAAATAAAAATTGTTTATTTATTTATTATTATTAATCAATGAGACCTTTATCTTAGTTATTATTATTATTATTTATTTTTAAAAATAAATAAACTTAAAAATCAATATTCAAAACATTTTTAACTTTTTTTCCAATGAAATAAATAAATTTTATTTTATTTATCAAAAAAAATCAATGAGTAGTTTTCATAGATTTTTATTTTTAAAATAAAAACATCACAAAAAACATCTTCAATATTATTATAAAAATTATTAGTCATATATATATATATATATATTTATGCTATTTTATAATTTATTATTTTTTAATTCAAAATATTTATATATTTAAAAAAAACTAAAATAAAAAATAAATATTTTTTAACTGGATTTTCCATTTTTGTAATTTTTGTGTATGTTTTTTAAAATTTTATTTTCTAATTTATTATCATTACAATAAACATATATATAAAATAATTTTTTTTCAAATAGATATACAGTAGTATCTGTTAGTTAACTAACTAGTAGTGATAATTTTGATGATCAAAAAAAATCTATTAAAATAAAATAAAAATTATTATTTCAAAAAAAAAATTACTAAACAAAAATCCCCATGATAAGTTCATTAAACGTTTATATGTTATATATAGTAGTAATTTATATGATCCAGTTTATTTGCTAAATAGTAAATAAAAAATTTTATTAAAAAAAATATAAAAAATTAGTATTACTAATTAGTTTTTACTAATTAATTTAATTAAATAAAATCCATCAAAATTTTTATTTATCTACTAACAAAAATTAAAGATTTAAATAAATTTTTAATAATAATAAATATTTAGATATACCTAAAAATTTTTTGTTTTGTATAGTATATATTATATATTAGTATTATTATTATTATCTAATAATATTAATAATTGTTTGATTTAGGAAATTGCTAATCAAAAAAAAATATATAAACAATAAAATAAAATTTAATATTATAATTATTCAATTTATTTGATTTTTTTTAAATACTAGGTCAATATTACATAAAACATTACAATTTTTTGTTGTTGTTGTAAAAATTAATATATATATTATATTATCAAATATTATAGTTTAACTATATATATATGTGTGTATCTATAGTTTATAATAATATATACATTCAATTATTTTATTTAATGTGCACATAATTTTCCTGTTATTTTTATTTTAAATAAAAAATTTATTTATTTTATTAGTATTATTATAATATAATAATAATTATTATTATAATGAAAATTATCAATTTATATAATGTATATATGATTAGTACATTATAGTAATACAGTAATTAATCAACAAAAACACAAAAAAAAACAACAATATATGTAAATTTGTTTTATTATTATATCTATTGATATATTTAAATAGTGAAAGTTATTAATATAATAATAACGAAAAATTAATTAATTAATTATAAAATAAAATAATTATTACTACTATACTCATCAATATGTGCATACTAAAATATAATAATAATAATAATAATAATAATATATAATAAAATTTTCCATGTTTAAAAAATTATAATAATTTTTATATTTAATTAATTAATTAATTAATACACACACACATACAAACATATATACATACACATACACATACAAACACATACAAACACATACACATACAAATACAAATACACATACACATACAAATACACATACACATACACATATACATATACATACACATACACATACAAATACACATACACATACACATACACATACAAATACACATACACATACACATACACATACACATACACATACACATACACATACAAATACACATACACATACACATACACATACAAATACACATACACATACACATACACATACATACAACTAGTTGTGTGCTAAATAATTTTGTTGCTGTTGTTGTTGTAATCCCTGTTTTTTATTATTATTTATTTATTAAACAGTCTATAACTAGAGTAACCAACACATACACACACACACACACGTAATAGATTTAGCCGGGAAAATCAATCAAAAAAATAAATAAATATTTTATCATATTTTTTATATAATGACACAAATTTAAATTTTTGAAACAAAAATTATGTATATTTAAAAAAAAAAATAGTTTATTGTTTAAAATACTGTATATTTATTATTTAAATATAATATTAAACTGATATAAATATACAATCACTCTATTAATGAAAATATATCTATAATTTTATTTAGTTTTTTTTTGTTTTACTGTATATACAATATATTATATTATAATTGAATTGCAATTAGTTTTGACTGTAATTTCGTAATTTCACTTTCTCTCTCTCTCTCTCTCTCTCTCTCTCTCTCACTCACTCACTCACTCACTCACTCACTCTCTCAGCTCCTGTTAGAGGAGGTATGTATGTATGCTATGTGTGTTCACCTCAATACCTACCTAAGCTCACAAACAAACAAACAAACACACACACACATACTCACACACACACACATACTCACACACACACACATACTCACACACACACACATACTCACACACACACACATACTCACACACACACACATACTCACACACACACACATACTCACACACACACACACATACTCACACACACACACATACTCACACACACACACATACTCACACACATATACACACACATACACACACACACACACACACACACACACTCACTAACTCACTTTCCCAGTTATAGTAAAGGGGGCGGCCAATAGGCAATACTACTACTGCTACCCCCGGCAACTAATTAGTGACAACCAGTTAGTTAGTTAGCTGTCTATCTATGTGTTTGCAAACTTTGCATATATATGTGTGTGTGTGTGCTGTTCCCCACCACCCCACTCCCCCCCCCCCAATAATAATATAATTTTGTTATTTTTTATATATATTTGATTACTACTAAAAACCTATTTTAATTGTACAATAATTTTTCAAGTTTAATAGTATTGTATTATATTTAGTAGTTATTTGCTAACTTGTTTAGAACTAGTAGTAGTAATACTATAATAGTATATTAATAATTATGAAAATTATTTAATTAATTATGTAATACTTATAATAATTATGTGGTTTTTTATATATCCTATGCCATCATCATCATAGGTATCGGTGCTCTACATCATCATCACTATCCATCATCAGCAGCAGCATCGGGTGATTTTAACATCAATAACATCCAGTGCATCCCAAATAGATAAATCCCATTGACTATTGACACATCCGTGTATGTGTGTGTTAGACACCTACCTGTCCACCACCTCATCATCCCTGTGCGCTATCCCATACACAAAGTGCTACAACACATTAACTATTTAAAAAACCATGATTTTTGGTGAATCGCTAAAAGTCCGGCAGTTTTTCATACTGTTATGGAAATGCTATCTAATCCGGAAACGACACTACATCTGGACATTCTTCGAGATAATGCTACCGATATTCATAGCCAGTGCCGCCCTGATAGCCAACAGTGGCGGCAAATCGGGTACGACTGTCGAGGATCCGATCCGCTATAAACCGGTAGCCGTCGGCAAAAATTTGCGATCATATTATACACTATTGTATACACCGGTCAACGAGTTTACCATGAATTTGATGTCCAGGTTGACCGAATCGGTTGACTGTCGGGGTGTTGAGTCGGCCGACGATTTGAATAATATTATTATGAGTGAAATACCGTTTACTATATCCGATTCGGTAGAGAAACTACTACTCGGCCTACAGGAAAACGAGACCATTGCGGGCGTTATATTTGATATGTCCGATGTTGGCCGCCATCATCTGGCCGTCGGTAACGATACTGTAATGCCGTTGAAACTAAACTATACCCTAAGGGTCAGGGATTTTGAGCTCCAGTCGGAGGCGTTCCCCAAGAAACAAGATTTCGGTCCATTTCCTAACGCCGATCATTATATCCGTAAAAACTTTGTAGCCGTACAGGTGCTCATCAACTATGCCTACTTGCAGATGCTCGGTGAACAACTATACCCGGAGGGTAAAGCACCGGCAATACCCGAAATCCGTGAGATCCGGGCCCGTCGATTCCCGTTTCCTAAATATATCAAACATCCCAGGTTTCAAGTGTCGATAATTAGTCGGTTTTTTCCGGGAACCGGTAAACTAAATACTCTGCAGCTGACCATCGAGTACTGTACAGTCCTGGGGTTTGTCGTTATGATTGTCCTATTGATTAAGTCGATAGTCGATGAAAAAGTCAACCGTGCCCGTGAAATGCTACGGTTGATGGGTATGTCCGATTGGATCTACTATTTCTCCCAGTTTGCCAACACGTTCACAATAATGGCCGTCCAGTCGCTACTGTTAACGGCCATGTTTTGTATGACACCCAATGCCCAGTTGAAAGGTGCCAATCCGTCGCTAGTCTATACGGTTATGTTGTGCTACTCGGCCTCGGCCATACTGTACGGTATGATGCTATCGGTATTTTTCAAAAAACCAACCAACGCCATGATTATCGGGTTTATCGTATGGTTGGGTGTTCAGGAAATAGCGGGAATGTTATTCGAGAAACGGGCCGGACTTACCGAAACATCGGGACTAATCAAAACACCCGAATGGTTTCATTTGGTCCTATGTTTGATACCTAACTACGCCCTGAAAGTGGTCAACGAGTTGCTGGTCGAGTGCGAAGTCTATGCAGCTTACGGTACATTTGTCCAACAATATCGGGTCTACTCAGCCGACTGGCCAAACTTGCGCAATGTTCTACCCCTATATCAATACCTAAGCATACTGTCCGTTATGGCCGCTATGTTGACCTCGTGCCTGATCTACGGGTTTATTATCTGGTATTTCGATGTTTTTCGGGTCTATAACCAGCACAGCAATGTCCGCTGCAAAACACTGGACGGTGTCGACAACGAGGCCTTTACCGGCGGCGACCAAAAAGGCAAACAACAGGACCCGAATCGGTACTTTGAGAGCGACCCGCAATCCCTACGGGTCGGTATTGTTGCCGACCAGTTGCGCAAAGAATTTGCCGAAAAAGTGGCCGTCAAAAATGTTACCTTAAAAATCTATCACGGCCAGATAACTGTCCTATTGGGACATAACGGTGCCGGTAAAACAACATTTGCATCGATGCTAACCGGCCTGTATTCGCCAACATCGGGCAAACTGATGGTCGACGGTATCGACGCTATTGCCAATCCGGAAGACGCCCGCAAACTGATGGGATTGTGTCCGCAACACGATGTCCTCTACGATGAGCTGACCTGCGAGGAACATCTCCGGTTGTTTGCCACTATTAAGGGTTGTCCTGAACCCCGGGTATCGGCCGAAATCACTCAAATACTGGATCAGTTGGGACTCAGTTTTAAACGCCGAGTACTATCGGCCGACCTGTCGGGCGGTATGAAACGTCGTCTATCGTTAGGTATGGCTATGATTAACAGTACAAAAATCCTGATTCTGGACGAACCGACTTCGGGTTTGGATCCCGAAGCCCGTCGGGGTGTCTGGGATTTCTTACTGTCCATTCGTAAGGAACGGCTGATTATGCTATCGACTCATTGGATGGAAGAGGCGGATGTATTGGGCGACCGTATAGCCATTATGTCTCAGGGACGGGTCATCTGCTGCGGGACATCCGTTTTCCTGAAGAAAGCCTACGCTGGGGGCTATCATCTGAGGATTGCCAAATCGGATGACTTCAAGACCGACTCATTTCAGCCGTTTATACGTAAATTTTTACCGAACGTTTCCCTCGAGAACGAGACGGCCAACGAAATCCGATTCGGTATCGATTCGGATGATTGCCGATATTTACCCGAATTTTTCGATGAATTAGATAAACAAAAACAAAATTTGGGGGTATTTTCCTGTGGTGTTAATGTGTCGTCAATGGATGATGTCTTCCTGAAGGTATGTGTGTGTGTGTGTTTGTTTTGTTGGTTTTTTTTGTTTGTTTTTTTGTTTAACCAGTACTGGACATACCGGTGCTGATTGTAGTAGTAGTAGTAGTAGTAGTTGTTGTAGTAGTTGTTGTAGTAGTGGTTATAATAGTAGTAGTTGTAAATTACAACTAATACTACTATTATAACTTGTAATAGTAGTAGTAGTTGTAATAGTATTTATAGTAGTAGTTATTATAGTAGTAGTAGTTATTATAGTAGTAGTAGTTATAATAGTATTTATAGTAGTAATTGTAATAGTAGTAGTAGTAGTAGTAGTGGTGATAGTAGTAGTAGTTATAATAGTAGTAGTTATAGTAGTAGTAGTTATAATAATAGTAGAAGTAGTAGTAGTAGTTATTATAGTATTTATAGTAATAGTTGTAATAGTAGTAGTAGTAGTAATAGTTATAATAATAGTAGTAGTAGTAGTAATGTTGTGTATTATACCCCCCAATAACTACTTAATAGAGAGAGAGAGAGAGAGAGAGAGAGAGATATTTGATTTTTTGGTGGCTAATGTTTTTATATATATATCGGGGGTATAATAATCTATATCTATAGATAGATAGATAGATAGTAGAGCACATGTATGTGTTGAGAAAAATCATATTATTTTTATTATTTAGTATATAGTAATTGATTTTTTTTTTAAATATTAATAGTCTATAATAATAATACTTTAGTTATTTAAAAATAAAACAAATAATAATTTCTAGAATTTAGAAAATAAAAATCAATTATTAATGTTAATAACTATTATATAAAAAAAGTCTACCAAAAAAATACTAAAAATTATTTTTCACACACACACACACACCTACCTGTCCCCTCACACACACACATATATATAGGTAATCGATGTCGAAAGCAATAAAAAACAAATGTCGCCCAGAAAGTCCGTCCAATTGGAAAATGGCATACATTTTAATAACAACAACAATTATAATGGGGGTGACTTCAAAAAGTTTACCGATGTCCAATCGGGTAAAGTTGAATCGGGACGGGAGCTAACAATGTTGAAACTTAGGGCACTGTTGGCCAAACGGGCACACGATATCAAACGTAGTACCCGTACGGTCGTACCCATTATGGGCATAGCTATTGGCTGTATATTTGCCGTATTGGGTCTGATTGAGACTACAGTTAACTCGACTAATCGGACGCCTAACTGGCGCCTGGATATGGATACCCAAAGTGCCGGCTATGACCCACAGTTGTTCGGGTTTTACTACGAGTTGGGTCGACTACCCGAATCCTATGGACAGTATTATTTGCCCGAAGCTGGTCGGGAACACATACAGGCCTACGATTGGAAAGTGGATCCAACGGAGAAGCTCTTGAATGATTCAATTAAGGATCTGAATGTCTATAGGGAACGTTGGCTGGTGGGTGCCTCCCTTGAAAAATATCGTAACCGTAATGTGTATATTGCCTGGTATAACGGAGAAGCTCATCACAGTCTACCGATTAGTGTGAATGTATTGTATAATGCATTGTTGAAAAAATTGGTGGCCGAGTCCAACACCAGTCGTATATCGCCCGATGATGTCGGCATACGACTACATCAGCATACGTTTGAACATTTTAATCCGCACTCGGCTTTTCTACCGTTTTTCGGACGTGTCTATAATAGTATGTATAGATTTGTTGTTTGTTTACTACCTTCCCCCCCCCTATCTATGCTAACTACTACCCTAACCGAAGGGTGGGGTGGGAAAGGTGATGTCTATCTATCCATATATACTTTTGACTGTTTATTGTTTGTTACCTTTTTCCCCTACCTATACTAACTACTACCCTAACCGAGGGGTGGGGTGGGAAAGGGGATGTCTATCTATCCATATATATGTTTGTTTGCTACCTTTCCCTCCTATCTATCCTAACTACTACCCTAACCGGGAGGTGGGAAGGGGATGTCTATCTATCCATATATATGCTTGCTTGTTGTTTGTTTACTACCCTTTTCCTCCTATTTATCTTAACTAATACCTTAACCGGGGGTGGAAAGGGGCTGTATATCCATCCATCCATATATATGTTTGGTTTTTGGTTTGATTACTACCCTAACCCCCTACCCCTCCCCTACCTATCCTAACTCTACTACCCTAATCGGGAGAGGGGTATCTATCCATATATATATGTTTGGATGTTGTTATTTTGCTACCGTTTTCCCCTACCTATACTAACTCTACTACCCTAACCGGGGGGAGGGGGTATCTATCCATATATATATGTTTGGTTGTTGTATGTTTACTACCTTTCCCCCTATCTATTCTAACTAATACCCTAACCGGGTGGTGGGTGGGAAAAGGGATATACAATTAGGTATATATTATTTGTTTTGATAATAATTTTTTATTTTATTTTTAAATTTTTCAGGTATTTTCATACCGTTTTCCGTATCATTTATTGCCGCCTTTTACGTACTGTTCCCAACTCATGAACGGGTGTCAAAGGTTAGTAGTATTTTTTGGGGGAGGAATAGTATATAAAAACTAACTGTTTGTTTGTTTGTTTGTTTGCTATTTAGTCTAAATTATTACAATTGATGACCGGTTTGAGTATCAGATTGTATTGGTTATCAAATTTTATATTTGATTATACAATTTATTTCATCTATTTTGTTACAATGTTTATGATATTACTTATATGGGACCGGGCCTTCCAGTATGGCCTATATTTTTCACGATTATCATCAACTGGTAAGTGTTTTTTTTTGATATATTTAAAAAAAAAATAATTTTAATAAATAAATTTATTTATTTATTTTTAAAAATATATATTAATTTCAATATACCTATACTCTAATTACGAGTACATAATAGTTAATACAAAAAAATATATATTTAATAATATATTTTTATTGATGTTGTTGTTATGTGTATATATATATATAATTTATTATTAACTTAATTAATTATTATTTTTCAAAATAATTTATTTTTATATATAATTGAATGGCTACCCCCACCCCAACTTAAATTTTAAAAAACCCCTCTAATCTAGTAGTCCACAAAAAATATGCAAAATATTTATATATTATTATTTATTTATTTTTTAAAATCATTGACTAATATTTATGTGTGTGTGTGTGTGTGTGTGATGTATGTGTATGTGTATGTGTATGTATGTGTGTGTATGTGTGTGTATGTACTGTAGTCTATGTGTATTTGTTTGAATGTGTGTTAACCTGAAAGACAAGTTTATAACAGTATTGCAGTAGTATTTGTTTTATTTATTTATTTAATTAATATGTATGTAATATAATATAAGACACTAAAAACAAATTCAAATTTATTTACAACACAAACAAAATAATAACAACAAAAATTGAAAATATTATAATATTATAATATTCACAAAATTTAGTCATTTTAATAGTTATAATTAAAAAATAAATAAATATAACATTTAATTAGTGTGTGAATATATATATATATGTATGTATGTGTGTGTGTGTGTGTGTGTGTGTGTATGTATATATGTTTATATATATATATGTGTGTAATACATATTCAATTTTATTTATTTATTTATATATTAATTACATTACAATTTTTTTTTGTGTTTTTGTTTGTTGATAGTTTAATAGTTAGTACTGTATATATTAATATTAAAATATATACAGTATATAATAATGTAATTTAAGCAACTTGTCGATGACATGATTTTTAATTTATTAGCAATAATAATTAGTGTTGGTAATTTTTCGCAATTCAATTTTCGATTGCCGCAATTGCGGAAAATTGCGTGAAATTGCTTGAAATTGCGCGCATGAGGGAATGTATAAAAATTAACTTTGACAACGTTAAAAATTTGATTTACTATAGATTAAGATAATTTACAAATCTATTATTATTTTTACAAGATTTTTAGATGACAACATTTAATGATAAAATAATTAAAATTTATATAATTAATTTATGTTTTTATTCATATTGCTTTATCATTTAAATTTTGTTAGTTTTTAAAAAATTATAAATTATTCTATGTTACAATTGCGATTTTCGCAATCGAGCTTTTCGCAATTGCGGCAATTTCACGCAATTTCCGACCAATGCAATTGCGCATTTTGCAATCGTGTCACTAATGTAATATTGTGTGTGTGTGTGTGTGTGTGTGTGTGTGTGTGTGTGTGTGTGTGTAAGTGTGTGTAAGTGTGTGTGAAAGTAAAAGTAAAAAAAAAGTGAGACAACTTTGACCTAAATTTTTTTGTAAAAAAAAATTATTTGCCATTTATTTTTCATCAAATACTCTGAATTATATGTTTCAACAAAAAAAATGATAAAATAAAACATCAAAATTTTTCTGTAATATACGATAATATATATAATGTTATTATTCAATACATATACACACATATACTGTATGTATAATATATATATACAGTATATATATATATATATATATATATACTGTAAATGAAATTATATTATATTTTGTTAGAAATTTTATTTTATTTTTTTTTTTGCAAATAATAATATATACAGTAATTAGTGGTTAATATCATCGATAAGTAATTATTATTATTTTTGTTTAATATAATTATGTTTTTAATTTTATTATTATTTTAATCGATCGATGCTATAATTAAAATACATGATACTATAATTATTTAGTAATTATTATCAATATTTGATAGTTTTTTTTGTGTATAAAATTTTAAAAAATAAATTAAATAATTATTTTTAAATTTACTAATTGTTTATCTACAGTATATATATATAACTACTCCCATATAATACTATTATAATATTATTTTAATATAAAATGACATTGATATTAAAAATATTTTTATTTATTATATTAATTTAATTTTCTTATTATTATTAGTAATATTAATAATAATATATATATACAATATATAACTAAATATTTCTCAATATATATATATATTATTATTAAATTGTTTTCTAATTTGTCAATTGATTTATAATTTATTTTTTTAAAATTAGAGAAAAAATATAATTTATTATATTATATATGTATATATAATTAATAGTTTTTCTATTAACTAAATATATATATAATTTATATATATATTGAGAAATATTTAGTTATTTATGTCATAATAAAAACCAGAAGAGAGAGAGAGAGAGAGAGAGAGAGAGATGACTTTGTTATTACATTACAACAAAAAGTTTCATAATTTTTATGTTTTACGGTATAATTTAACGATTAGACCGTAACCTTAGATTTCTAGAGGACTGGTATATTATCTTACAGTAGTCTACACATACATACACACATATACATACACACATATACATACACACACATACACATACATAAACACATACATACACACATATACATACATACACATATACATACATACACATACACATACACATACACACATACATAAACACATACACATACACATACATAAACACATACACATACACATACACAAACACATACACATACACATACATAAACACATACACACATTACACACACACACATACACACTATCTATAATTTTTACACATGCACATACTTACAAACATATACATACACACACATATACATACACACACACACACACACACACACACACACACACATGTTATAAAACTTTTACTTTTATCGTATTATAATATATATATATATATATTTCAATAATAAGATTCCTGTATCTATAATATATTATAGGTACAGTATATACAGTTTTTTATAGATAAATAAAAATTAATATATACAGTATATACAGTATGTACTAATCATATAACGTATATATAATTATTTAATTTACAAATAAATAAATTATATATATTTATATAAAAAAAAATTTCTTTTATGTAATTAAATAATACCTTGAAGTTTGAATTTTTAATACAGTAGTAGTAGTAGTAGTTTTAGTAGTATTTTGTTTAGTATTGCTTAAAGCTATTTCAAAAAAAAAAAAATTTTAAAGTTAATGTAATTATAATGTATTGATTTTTTTTTGTTTTTTGTTTTACACAATCAAAATGATGATGAAAATAAAATTAATTTTAAAAAAAAATAATTATTAAATATTAATTTTGATAAATAATTTTCTCTATAACTATAACATTAACAACTAAATTGATGATTGATTTTTTTGGTGCAAATATTTTGTTGAATAATAAAAATAATTAATTAAAACCATTGAATAATTAATTATTACTAATTTAAAAATAATTTTGTTTTAATTTTTATTTAATTTAGTTTTACTTATTAATGATAAAACTAAACAAATTAAGTTATTATAAATAATTTTTTAAAAAATATTTCATCTAATAATAAATATATTTTTATTTAATAAAATAATTTGTATTAATTTTTCAAATAATTTATTATTATTATTATCCAATATATATATATATATATATATATATATATATATATAATATTAAATATAAATTAAGGCCAAACACTTTATATTATTATTTAATATTAATATTAATTCATAGTTTTATTTTATTTATTATTATTTAATTTTTTTTTCTCTCATTTCAATCGCACAAACAAAAAGTTTATAAATTATTTAGCAATAATTTTCTAACAAATATTTTTTTTTATATATAAATATAATTGAATTGAAAAATATTTATCATATTATTATTATTATGAAAATCTGTATTAGTATTACAAAATAATTATATTAAATTAAACGTTTAGTTTTTGATTATTATTATTATTATTATTATTGTATAAAATATTATATATATATATATATATATATATATATATATAGCTATTAGTTTTTAGTTCCGTAAACTCATTGATTATTTTACATGTATTTTATTATTTTATTTATTTATTATTATTATTACTATTATACGGTATTAATACTAAAAACTATTGTAACACCGGTAGTATATCTATATACCTGTGCTATATATACATGTATAAGCTGTATATATACCGGTATATATATATATGACTTATATAATATATGTATATTATATTGAAATACATATAAACATATAATTACTACAATAGGATTGTTTGTGATAATCATTTTATTTATTTATTTTTTTGTAAAAATCAAATTTTTTGATTTATTATTTTACATTTTTTTTAAACGGCAAACAAAATATAAAAACATCAAAACCTAACAAACAAACAAATAATTTATTTTATTTATTTTTTTGTTGTATAAAAAATGCGATGAACTTTCCTTTATATATATATATAAAATACATATACAGTATATGTTATATAAGTTATAGTATTTTTTGTTGTACAGTATATTACTTGTATATATCGTAATAATAATAATAATAATAATAATAATAATAGTGTAATTGTGTCAACACATTGCCAATAAAAAATTATTTTTTTTTGTTGCAATTACCCCTCAAATTATTGAACTATTATATATATATACAGTATATATATTATATATATATATATATATATATATATATATATATATATATATATACTGTATATATATATATATACAGTACAACTAACTAACAAAAAATAAAATAAATACATTTATTATATATATATATATATATACAATATCTATATATTTATTTATTTTCTCGGTCATTTCCTTGCTCATTTATTTATTATTTTTAAATAATAATTATATAATAATATCCATAATATATTTCCTATTATGACTATTAACTATTTAGCTAACAATAAGTAATTATTATTATTATTTTAAATTTTTTGTTTAGTTTTTTGCTAATTTAGTACTAATTATAATATATATATATTTTTAAAATAATTTTAATTGTTTTAATTAAACACAAAATCAAAACTAATTACTTTTATTTTAAACTATTAATTTTAACATATTTTTATTTTCTTAATAATTTGTACAATAGATTTAAAATAAATGTTTATTTATTTGTTTATAATTTTAAAATTTCCAAAAATTAAAAATTGATAAAAAAAATTAAAAATAAAATACAATACATACGTGTGTTTGTGTAGACATTGATTTTAATTTACGATTAGTTAGTAATTTAATTTTTATTTATTATTTTTTTTGTGTAGACAATGTCTACTATTATATACTATGAATATATTAACAATGAAAACAAAAAATTATTTCAAAAAAATACAATTATTTATGATTAGCAATAACAATGTCAATAGCGATTGTATATATAGACAGTATATACTGTATATATATATTGTAATTGTGTTAAAATAAAACAACAACAAAAAATTATATGAAATTTTACATTTACTGTATTGTTTTTCCTTATAATTTTTATAATTAAGTTATTAAATGTATTATATAATATAGACATTAAGTTTTATTCAATAATAATTAATTAATTAATTGTTAGCTAAATATATTGTTTTATTTTTTATTTCTAAATAAAAAAAAAATTTAATACTTTTTTTATACATAAGCAATGAAAAACAATAATTAATTATTAGATATTTATTTATTTTTTTTATTTGTGTGTCGACTTTAAAAAATAAAATCTCAATTTTTTTTCTAATAATTTACTATAAATTTATATACAATTTTATAATTATCTAATAAATGTAATAAATAACTAAATTAAAGGTTATTTTTTAAAACAAAATATCTATCAATATATAAATTTATGGTAAATATTATTATTTAATTTATAGTATATTTGCAAATATTTTTAATATTTAATAATAGCTTATAGTTATTATTATTATTATTATTTATAATACAGTAAATATTTTTTTGTGGCTAAATTTAACAAAAAATATTTTTCATATATATATAATAGTATTATTATTATTATTATTATTGATGTCCTTCAATTAACATACCTGTGCTATGAGGGGGGAGGGGATAATCCATACACACGATTGCTTTTTTAGATGGGTCTCCCCCTAATAGTTAATAAATTAAGTTTTAGTTAATAAATTTAGTTAATAATAATTTTTTTTATTAATCTAATATCAATATTAATTATTATTATTATTATTTTATATTTAAATTATTGCCTACTAATTGTAATTTGTGTTTATATTTAATTAAATTTAATTTATTTGTTTACATCATTGAGTTATATATAGATTATCTAAAAATAGTTTATTTTTCAGCAGAAAAAAATTAATAATAATATTTTTTCAACAATTTACTAATCAAAAAACATTGATTGAATACTTAATTAGTTATTTTTTTAAACACAAATAATATACACTGTATTTGTGGAAAATATTTTTTATTTATGTAATAATACTAATAATAAAATATTTTAGATTTTTTGTTTTATGTAAAGTGATAAATGTTTACGGAATTTCCAAAAAAAAAAATAATTAAAATAAATAATAATATTAAAATAGTTAGCAATTGTGTGCGCAATTAACATCACTATCAAAATAATTTCTATATATGAAAGTGATATTTATTATTATTATTTTTTTATATATAAATTATCATAATATTTAATAACAATAATAATAATAACACTAAAAATAGATAGTAATAGATAAATGTTATTTTAAAAAGATAATAATTTTTTAAAATTATTAATACCCTATCAAAACATTTTGAATTATTTTTTTCAAAAAAATATTAATGACATTTCAATATATTATTATATACTTATATATCTCATAACTTAACAGTAGTTTAATAATAATACTTTAAAAAAACGATTATAATTAACAACAATTGTGTCAATCACTGTCAATCAAATTTCATATTCAATATATATATATTAAATATTTTTAAATTTTAGGATAATAAAAGATTTTATTATTTTAGATTTAAAAAAAATAATAATAAAATTGAAGGTAAATATTAAATTTAATGTATCGAAAATAAGTACATTTTTAATAAAAAAAATATAATAATAAAAAGTTATTACTTAATAACAATATTGTATTTTATTTTATAATAAAAAATGTAATATAAATATTTTATCTAGATACAATATGTGTTTAATAAATAAATATATATATATATATATAATAGGATAATAATTTATTTTTTTTAAAAATATTATGAATAAAAAAGTCAAATTCAAAGTCAAAACCAATATAAAGAAAATATTATTTGATTTGAAAATATATTTCACTATTTTTTTTATATGATTTATCTGTTATTATGTATTATTTTTATTATTATTATTTAAATATAATATATTTAAAAGCCATTAAAAAATTTTAGGGAAATATATATAAATATAAAAATATTATTTGGAAAACAAACAATAATTTTATTTTTTTTTGTAATTTTTCCAATCAATCACTTAACATATTTATTATTATACAGTATTAATACTAAAAATTTTTAATTATTATTATTATTATTGCTTTCACATTGTGCAATATTTATTAAGCAAATTTTAAAAAATTAATAATAATAATAATAAAATATAAATATGTAAATATTGGTTATTTGCATTTGAATGATAAAATTTTTTTAAATAATTTTATTTAAATTAAATTTTTATATATACAATAATATTATTAGCATATATAGTATACGATTCAATAAATTAAATCTATTAAACAATAAAACATAAATAATTTTATATATAAATTTACAAAAATATTATGCATTGAATAAATTTAAATAATAATATAAATATTAACTTTTTTTAAATATTGTTTATTAAGTTTTAAAATAAATAAATTTTCTTTAGACAATAACTAATTAATTTAATATAAAATATAATTAATTATTTTATGGAAAATTTTTTTTGATACTTTAAATATCATTATAATTCAAATTAATTAATTAAATAAATAATATTTACTAATTGATAACATTAATTATTATTACACTTTTTTCTATTTAAATATATATATATATATATATATATATATATATATATTACCTTACAGTATAACAACTATCTATACATTAATCAATATTTATTAAACAACATATAATTTTCAAATATAAATAACTATATTATTAATTTGAATCACATATTATTATAAAAAAAAATCTATAATCACAAAAGTAATAATAATTATAATAATAATAATTACTAATACTAATACTAATAAACAAATTACTAAATCACATATTAATTTAAATCATCAATTGTTGTCAACAACAACAAAATTAAATTATTAATATATATCTAATTTATTAAAAAAAAATTTCTCAATTATTAGTTGTATCGTTAGTATATTATTTATTAATAAATAAAATAATATTCAACAACGACAACAAAATATATATATATAATTAAAAATATTATATATAAATAATTCAAATTAAATATCTATTTGAATCAACAATTGTTGTCAACAACAACAAAATTAAATTATTAATATATTAAAAAAATTTTATCACAATTATTAGTATATAGTTAATAGAAATAAAATAATAGTCAACAACAACAACAACAAAATAAATATATATATACATAACTAAAAAAATATTATATATAGCTAATTTAGTTTAAATGTTAATTTGAATCAACAATTGTTGTCAACAACAACAAAATTAAATTATTAATATATATCTAATTTTTATAATTTTTTAAAAAATTTTTCACAATTATTAGTATATAGTTAATAGAAATAAAACAATATTCAACAACAAAATAAATATATATATATATACATAACTAAAAAAAATATTATATATAACTAATTTAAGTTAATAATATATATATATATATATATATATATATCTATAAATTTTATTTATTAATTTATTTATTTTCTATATATCTATATATCATTTATTTATTTTATAGTTGCATTTGTATCGCTATTTATATCATTTGGTTGGGCAGCCATACCGTTTGCCTATCTGGTCTCATCCCTATTTCGCAAACCGTCCACCGCTTTCGGCATACTGTGCCTGATATCGGTCATTACCGGTATAGGTATGGGTGTTATATCGACTTTTTTCGAGACAATCCTCGAGGAAAAGTCATCGGCCGAAGTCCGCGGCCTGTTTTACTCGCTTATGTGGTTTGCCCGACTGTCACCAGTAGTTAGCCTAGTATTGGGTACACAGAAATTATTTTCACTGGACTCGACCCGGTTGGTTTGTGCCCAATTTCAACAATCATTGAGGGCTATACTGTGCGGTATATATGCCGCCTCCCAGCGCTCAAACCCGGAGCTCGAGGAGCTTAAGATACTTAAGCCGGAGCGCTGTTGCGATGGTATATATTATTTGATTTGATTTTTTTTATTTTAAAAAATTTTTTTTTTAGATTTTAATATAGAATTTATTTTGAAAAATTATATATATATTTATCATTTATTTTTTAAAAATTTATTTTATTTAAACAATTTTTTTACATTTTAATATATATATATATATATAATTTATTTCGAATTTTTTTTATATATATTTTAATTAATTATTTATAAATAATCCAAAAAATGATTTTTTTTTTGATTAATTATATATATATATAAATTTATATGATTTACTACTTAAATATTTTCATTTTTTTGATGTTGAAAAATATTATTATTATTTTAAAGTATTAGTAGTAAAGTATTAATTTTAGTTTTTTGATAGATTAATAACACTATAAATATATATATATATAAATTAATAATATTTAGCTAATTAAATATTTAATACCTAGAAAAATATCAATTTTATTTTTCAAAAAATAACTTTTTCAATGACAACCAACTCAACCCAATTTATTTATAGAGATATATATATATAATTATTAATAATATTATTATTATGAATTATAAATTATTTACTACTAATTAAAATATTTAATAGGATAAATAAATAATAAATATATTGACAAAAAAAATAAACTAATAATTTATATATATATATTTATGCAGGAATTTTTTATGTGTCAAAATAATATATAAATATTTATCACTAATATATAAAAATATATAAATTATTAGTAATATTAATATAAATTATAAGCTAATTAAAGAAACAAAAAATATATTTATATATATATTTTAATGATAAATTGAAATATTTTTTTTGTTGGTTTTTATTATTATTATTAGCATAAAACAAATTTAATGATTGATTGATTGCAATGATTTTTATCAGTAAATATTATTTTGCAATAGTACTGAAATAAAAAACATTTTTTTGTACTTCAAAATTAAGTAATAATAATAATAATTATTATTATTATTATACAAACAAAAAATACAATAATAATAATAATTTACAGTAGAATCACTTTATAGATTTCTAAATAATTTATTTTTTTAAAAAACAATTTATTTATGATATTTATTGTATTATTATTTGACACACGTTTGGCATATTAATTGGCTTTAATTAATTAGTTATTATTATTATTAATTTGCAATAATATATATATATATWTAAAAAATGAATCGCAATTTTTTATTATTATAATTATTTTCGTAATCAATTGGCAAATAATAATAATAATAATTGTTTATTATATACACGTGTAAACAATTTATTTATTTTTTTTAAAAAAATAACAATTTTATTTATTTAGCAATTTTTTTGTTTGTTTGTTAGTATTATTATTAACTACAGTATTAAGTATTAATAATAATAATAATAATAATAATAAGTAGGTTTAGTTGCAAAATATTTATCCGATAGTATTATAATATATTAAGTTCAAGTTAAATAAAATCAATTTTATTATTAATTACTAACAATTAAAAAAAATATTCAAAAAAATTAATTACCAAAACTACTTCTAATTTATTATTATTATTATTATTATTATTTTATACAAACATTATAAAAATAATAAGACAATAATTTAAAAAAAAAATATTAATTACTTATAGATTACCGATTTAGTTGTGGCAACAAAATATTTATATAAAAAAAATTAAAATAATTAGCAAAATTAATTAATTATATTTTTATAATTAATATACTAAAAAAATATTTTTAACAAACCTATCATAAAATAATAATAATATAAATAATATAATATATAAATAATATTAATATATAAATAATATAAATTTTATTATTATTACTTTACTATATGTTACTAAATTATTCAATCAATATCATCATCATCATCAATGATGATGATTACCATTATCTAAATATTATATACATATTATTATTATTATTTTATCATAATATATATATCTATATATATATATAAACAGTATATCACATATCTAACTGATCCCATATTTTTTATCTCCAGAGGTTTGCGGTAATGAGTGTATCTTTCAGCACCCGTTTTTCTGGTTCAACTGGTTAGGTGTTAACGATGAGATAGCTATGTTGGTAATGGACGGCATACTCTACTGGCTCATCCTATTTGCTATCGATACCAATGCACTGGGAGGTGGCGGCGGCGGTGATGGAGGACAGGGTAGCGGCGGCACTGGCACTGGTAGTCGAGGTGGCAGTGGTGGACTCAGTGGCCGATTGATGGCCGTACTGAAAGGTGTACGCAATCTGTTCAGTGGCCATACAAAACGGTCGTTTACATTGAAGACGATGAAAGCGCCGAATACGTCGGACAATGATGTCCTGGACGAGCGGCAACGGGTGGACAAAATCATTGCCTCACATCATATGGCCGACGAAGCCATAGTTGTCCAAAATCTGACCAAAAGGTACTCCAATGGGAAGTTTTTGGCCGTCGATCAGTTGAGTTTTGCCGTCGGTAAAGAACAGTTTTTCGGTCTACTGGGTATCAACGGTGCCGGCAAAACAACAACGTTTCGTATGCTAACCGGTGACCTCCGAGTGACCAACGGTAACGCTTATGTAGCCCAAAGTGATCTGATGAACGATCGGGCCGTTTATCAGTCGCAGATTGGGTATTGTCCACAATTTGATGCCCTATTGGACAGGTTAAACAGTTTCGAGACCCTATACTTGTATGGCCGGCTCCGGGGTATACCCGATCGGGATATAGCCTTGGAGGTCAATAAATTGATCAAAAAAGTTGACCTACAAAATCACGCTCAACGTAAATGCAAAAACTATTCGGGCGGTAATAAACGCAAGCTATCGCTGGCCATGGCATTGATCGGTTCGCCACCGGTTGTCCTACTGGACGAACCGACATCGGGTGTCGATCCAGTGGCCCGACGTAAAATGTGGGTCGCCATCAGCGACATACAGTACAACTCCGGTTCCTCAATCATACTGTCCTCTCATTCGATGGACGAATGCGAAGCCCTGTGCGATCGTATAGCCATTATGGCTGCCGGCCAATTCAAATGTGTCGGTTCAACCCAGTACTTGCGCACCAAATTTGGCCAGGGCTATTCCCTGATCATCAAATTGAAACCCGATTTGGTTGCCCAAAATGAGGACTACCTGGACGACGTACAGGTATACGTTGAGGAACGGCTAGAAAATGCCCAACTCAAGGACATACATCAAACATTAATTTTCTATCATGTACCACCCGGTCCCGAAACTACCTGGTCCAAACTGTTCCAGTGTATGGAACTGGCCAAACAGGAACTCAATCTCGAGGACTATCAAGTAGGCGATACCACTTTGGAACAGATATTCCTATCGTTTGCCAAATCGGCTTCGGCTACTACTCAGGACCGGCCAAAACGGCTATCGTTGGCCGATATTGCCGAAATTGTTTAACGGGTTGGGGGAGGGGAGGGGGTGGGGTGGGCAGTGTGTAGTGTAGCCGTAAAATTTCAGCGCACCGGTAGTTATTATTAGACAGCACTGGTAGTTCAGTTAGTTAGTTAGTTAGTTGTTTGTAGTATTTAAAAAATAGTAGTTATAGTGAAAATGATCCGGATAAAAATATGTGATTATTTTTTATATATATATATATATATATAATTTTTTTCTATATCTAAAAAAACAAATTTAGTTTATTATTATTATTAGTATATTATTTTTTTTAATTAATTGATTAATTGATTTGATTAATAATAATAATAATAATTATTATTATTATTATTATTATTATTAGTACTGTATATATATATATAATTAATGATTTTAAGTGGTAATACTAATTATAATTATATATATATATATATATATATATATTAATTAATTATTATTTCTTATATATATATTGTTTTATGATAATCATAATAATGATTTAATAATAATTTTTTTTATTAATAATAATAATAATTATTATTATTATGTATCTCATTTGGTTTGACCACCATACATAGTGGCTCCGGTAGTTTTTAAAATTATTTTTTTTTTATATAAATATGGGTGACAGTCAATTGTGATGTACTGTATGTATATTTTATGGACAGTTATATATCATATAAATATTAATTATTATTATTATTTTTCATAAACAAGTGTCGGACCTAATCATAAAATATAAGTAGTTTTATATATAATATACAAATAGTGATCATATTTACTATATATAAAAAAATTAATTAAATAATTAATTAATAATTAATTAAAATATGACACTAAATAACACAATTGAATCAATTATAGAGACAACAAAACAAAAAACAAATTAAATGTGATTTTTTTAATATTCAATTTTATTTTATCAATATATTATTCAAACAAAATCGCAAACATTTTTTGAGATTAAGTTTTTTTTACAATAATAATCATAAATATTTCATTTTTTTATATATAATTATTGCAAACATAATACAATATATTCATAATTGTGTAAATGTTTTGTTTTTTATTAATTAATTAATTAAACAAATATTAATAATTTTGAATATAAACTTACAATTAATTTTTTTTTTAAATTATATATATAAAATAATAATTGATTATTTTTTAAAAATAAAATAAGTATTTACAATTTTTAGTTAATAGTTTTTCAAACAATCATAATGATAATTAATAAATTTTAATTATATATATATATTATTTTATAACTTATTTGTATTTATATATAATAATTGTTTTTTATATATATATATATAAATACTAAATCAATGTTTTTTTTTAATTAAAACAATTATTGATGTGAAATCTCATAATTATATTTTTTTAAATAATAATAATAATATTAAATTATGATAATTTTTTTTTTAAATAAATATAATGAACAAATAGGTAAATAATTTTTTTTTTATAAATAATTCATATTTTTATATAAAAAAATATATATTTAATTTTTAAACAAATATTGAATTATAATGCAAATAAAAAATGAATTGTAAAATAAATAAATAATAACTATTATTATTATTAATAATAATAAATTTTTTAATGTATACTTAATTTATAATTTGTATTAAAAAAATTCAATAACAAAAAAATGTTTTAGTAAATAAAAATAAAATAAAAGTAAATATTACCAATAAAATCAAATCAAATAAAATAATAACTCAATTGATTTATTTTTTTCAAAAAATTTATTGGACGTTTTAAATGTATTTATAAATATTATATGCATTTTATTAATATATTTATTAATAATAATAATAATAATAATAATAATAAAAACTACAGTATTATGTAAGGCATACATTATTTTTGTGCAATTATTTATTTTAGCAAAATCTGTATCAATAAAAAACAAAATTATAATTTTAATCATTAATATTATAAATAATCGTTTTTTATATATACGGTATATAAATTTTTTAAATATATATATATATATACTATAGATATATATATATATATATATATAATACTGTATATTATCAATAGATGACTGACTGGTGACACAATTTTTTTTTTTAAATAATAAATTTTATCAAAAAATAAAATAAAATACATTTCACAGTATGTTTGATATATACATACAGAAAGTATTACTATTAATAATAATTTATTTTATTTTAAAACAAATTAAGTAATAGTAATAATAATACTATTAATATAAATTATATAAATTTTTTTAAATAATCATATTTTTAAATAATAGTTTTTTCTTATAAAAGTTGATAATATCTAACTATAATTATTTATTAATATAAATAATAATAATGAATATTTTGATAATGATAAATATAATAATGATGATAACTATAATAACAATAATAATAACTACTGTTATAATAATTAAATAATAATTAATTTATGATTGATTGATTATTACAATGATGATGATAATGATAATAGTGATGATAATCGTAAACTTTTTTAATAATTTTAATAATATTAATCATAATTTTTTTTCGTATACATCTATCTATTTAATAAATATATAATATTTATATATAAATACTAAATAATTATATATATATATATATATATATATTRTGGGTTCAAAATTTTATGTTATTTTAAAGTTATGTTTTTTGGTTAATTGTTGTTTAATATTTTTTTTTTTTGGTAAATTTAATGGAAATATTATTTATATATAGTTAATCAACCCCACCCTCTCCCCCAAAATAAAATTAATCATCAAGGTAAGATTTAATAATAATTATTAATAATAAATTTGCAAAAATAATAACTATTATTTAAATTAAAAATAAATTTTTATTGATATAAAATAAAATACTATATTATAATAAATTAATAATAATAATTATATTATATATATTTTTGATCAATAAATTTTGATTTATTAAAGTCTAGACTCTATTATTATTATTAATTGAAAAAAAATAATATTACAAAATAATACACAAAAAATAAATTAAATAACCAATTTATATGATTATTTGATTTGTATAAATAAATAAATTACTATTAATTGTAATTTTAAAAAATATCATATATTGCTAACTAAATAATAGTAATAATAATAATTCATAATATAATATAACACACAAAAAAACATTATTTATCTATTCATCACGTTTTCAATTGATTTTTGTTGTTGTATTTTATAAAAATTTTAAATATAAATTAAATAACATTTAAAAAAAATTACATATATTGAATAATAATAATACAAAATATATTCAAGGTAATATTTTATTATAAAAATAATTATAATCATTATTATTATATTTTAAGTTTAGTTAATAACAATTGCTTTTTTAAAAACATTTAAATAACATTTAATATTAATAGTAGTATTAATAATAATTTAAGTTTATATTTATATAATACAAGTATTGATGTGTTTTTTATTCAATAAAATTCAATTGAATTTTTTGTTTGTTTATTATATAAATATAAAAATTGAATTATTGATAATTATTTGCTATGTTTAACATTTCCTGTAATACTATACTTATATCTATATATATATATATATATACAGTATATTAATAATAAGTTATATATATAGATTATATAATTTATTTATTTATTTATTTATTTCTTCAATAATAAAATTGGGAAATAAATAAAAACTATTTTTTTTAATTATTTTGAAACAACTAATTCAGCAAAAAAATTATTGAAACTATAGATACCAATAGTTTTATAATAGATTATTAATATATATATATATTGATATATATACCAGAAATTTTTAGTTATGATTTTTTGATTATAAAATAAAAGTTAATAACTGTTTAATATATATTTATATAACAAATATAACCATATGATTGACGTTTATAAATAGTAGTTATATAGAAATTAGATATTTTTTTAAAAAAAAATTACTTATCAAACATATATTTATATATAATTTTTTATTTAATAGGATGTCTTGTTTTACAAATAGTGTTAATATTTAATTTTTAAAAAAAACTAAATATTAAATAATATAAACATGTTTTTTGGTGGTTATCTGAATAAATGTTTTTTTCATTATATATATTATATTATATAAAAAAATGTCACTATAATTGATAATCATATGTAACTTATAATGTAATAAATGGGAGGGATATTCAAGTTATAGTCATTGAATTTAACAATTAAAAAAATAAACCAAAATATTAATAATAATAATAATTTTATTAAACTATTAAACAAACAACAAAATAATTTAACAAAAATAAAAATTATTTAAAAACAATAATTTATATTTAATTTTGTATATTTTATGTAATAAAAAAATAAAAATCATACTAATATATAAAACAATTTAGTTTATTAACTTTTAAAATTTATTATTTTAAAACTAGCAAGTACAATTTTTTTTAAATAAAAAATAATTTTAACATTATATATATATATATAATTAATATTATAGATTCTATAGCAACAAGTTTAGACTAAATTACTAATAATTTAATTAAATGATAAATAATATAAATTAAAATATTATTAATTCAATAATAATAATAATAATAATATCAGAAAACATAAAAAATTATTATCAATTATTTTTAGTTATACAGACACCAAGTCATATGAAAAAATAATAATAATAAAATTTTATTTTACTAATAATTTAAGTAATAAAAGAGTTTATTATATTGTCATTAAAAATACTTTTTTAAAAAAATTAAATTCATTCATAAGAAAAACATATATAAAAAAATTAATTTTAAACAAAATATATAATCAGTTAAACATAAAAAGCAATTAAGATAATTGTAAAAAAAATAATATTATTTTAAGACTACTTGTAAATTATTAAAATAATATTTATATTAAAATAAATTAATTTTTTTTGAAACCGACAATATTTTATCATTATTTCTACGAAACAAAAAAAAATAATTCAATAATTTTTAAACTAATAATTAATTTTTATAGACACTGTATAATAATAATAATAATAAATTATTATTAATAATGAATAAATTAAATGATAAAAATAAGTGATTATTTTCTAACATATAATTATGAAATTTAAATTTTAATTAAGTTTTAAAAACAATTAAATATGAATATATATATATATATATATATATTAATAATAATATGTTTGTAAAAAACAACATATAATTAAAGATTTGATATTAAAAATTTTTATTATTAAATTAATACTACATATTTTTAACCACATAAATAATTTTAAAAAAAATTAATTAACATATAAATATAAGTTTAGTTTTATTTTAAAATTTATTATACCTAATAATAATAATAATTATTATTATTTAAACTTTTTTTATTGCTATATTTAAAAACTAAAATATAACTATTTTATTTTACAATAAACTTAATTTAAAAAATATCTAACATTAATGATAAAATAGATATTAATAATAATAACAATAACAATAATTATTATTAATATTAATAGCTTATCACTACTACATATTGAATATGAAATCAAATCTATAAGTGGTATCTAATGATGAGTTTATTAGAAAACTATTAATACTATAATAATAATAATATACTTAAGTATACGGTATAGTCAACCAATATATTATCTACCAGTGCTCTCTCTTTCTCTCTCTCTCTCTCTCTCTCTCTCTCTAGAAATCACTAATACAAACACACACACACACACACACACACACAAACACACACACTCATACATACATACACACACACACAAACACACACACATACATACATACACACACACACAAACACACACACATACACACACATACATACACACACGCACACAAGCATACAAACACATACACACACATACATACAAACACACACACACACACATACATACATACACACACACACGCACACACTATAAAACTATGTAATAAACATATTTTACATCATAGTGGTGTTGACAGTGAGTGTGAATGTATAAAAAAAATTAATTATCAGGAAAAATATTTATTTTTTATTTTTTTTTTAAATCAAAACTTAATATTATTTACTAATAAAAAAAGTTTTTGTTTTGTGGAAATATTATTTTTATCTATAAATTTTAAACATCAATATATTAATATATATTATACCAAAATTAAATCATATATGTTAAGGTTTTTTAATTTATTAACGAATCATTCAAATTATTATTATTATTATTTTTTGTTAAATTAATTATATATTATTAGTAAATGTTAAATGATTTGCAACTAATGATTTGTATTCATGGGATTTATTATTTAAAAAAAAAAACAATAATTAATTATAAAAAGTTTTCAAAGTTTTTTGCTAACAAATTATTAATTGATTGACAAAAAAACATATACAACTATTTTGTTGTTTGTTTTATTTTATTAATATTTTATTTGATTTGTTGTGTAAAAATGTATTAAATTTCTATTTTCAATCTATTTATATATATATATATATATATATTTATAATATTTAGATTTATTTATATATATATATATATATTAATATTATATATAAATATATATATTTATAGCGTCGTAATATACAGTATATACTGTAAGTGTAGATAATATATTATATAGTTATGGTTTTAAGTGCATATCATTTTTGTTTGTATATATATATATACAGTATATATATATTAACTGATAATAATTTATTTATTATGTATGGATGTGTGAATAGCAAACTAAAACATAATTTTTAGTAAATTATAACTATTTAAAAATGTAATAATAATAATAATAATAATAATAATAATAATAAACTTAATGTGTGTGTGTGTGTGTACGACATTGTATATCAAAAATCAATTTATACCACTAATAATAATAATAATAATAATAGTTATTGAGACAAACATTTTTGGATATAAAAATAAATATCATAATAGTTATTATATCTGAAAAAATAAATAAATAATTATTATAATTATATTTATAATATATATATATATACTTTTTTTATCCAATATTTCAATTTTATTTATTTTTTACAAAAAAAATAAATTACAATTATGTGATCCAAAAATAAATAAATAAATAATTAATTAATTACTTGCTAACTATTGCTAATTAGTTTAATAATAATAATAATAATAACATTAGTGTTTTGTGTCTAATTAATTAATTAATTTTATTTATATTGTGTTTGTTGTGTTGGTTGGTTGGTTGGTTAGGGTTTAAAGGACAGTTAGCATGTTGAACCGGGTCAGGGAGCACGAGTACTCGGCCCAGCAGCCGGCACCTATAGCCGCGGCCGCCGCCGCTTTATACCATACTAAACGTAACAGTTTGGTTGTAGTGAACAAGGATACCGGTATACCCCAAGTGGTCATACATAAAACCATACACAATGGTAATGGTGGAGGCGGTGGTGGCCAGGGATGTGTTAACGGACTGTCAAATGGCCATCACTATTACGATCTGAATTCCGTACAGACACTCAATAATACCTCATCGGTAACCAAACGCAAGATACTGGAGATATTGCAAGAGGTCAACACTAAAAGGACGATCAGGGAGTGTAGGGAATCGGACGAGGATTTAGGTAGTGTTCTGGGAATGCATACCTATTTCAATCAGAAAACAACTAATTATAAGCAAAAATATCGTGTCTATAATTTCCTGAATTATCCGAAAGGTTAGTGTATTTTTGTTGTTGTTTATACATACCTGTGCCCCAAACCAAATGATATCTATTTACCAATAACCGGGTGGTGGGGGTGGTTAGATTGAGGGAGTTATGAGGGATGGTTATGGTTTTGTTTATAAATATATACTACAGTACTATTGCTAGGCACCATCCAACCCCTACCCATTAAATACATGTAATGAAACCCTACCCCACTCCCCAACTACCAGTGCGCCTAATAATAAGATACCCATTTAACACCATCCATACCCCCGGGGGTGGTTAGGTGTTACAAAATAGCATATATATATATATGATATGATTTATAATGTACATAGTTATTTTGGTAATATATAACCCATGCTCCCCCCAACTAAAAATATATTTAGCTAGGTGCTGTATTTATACTGTATATTTTATGACTAATTAATTAATTTTTTTTGGTTAGTTTAGTGACCTTGGTGTTAATTTATGTTAACTATTTATTTATAACTTTTTTTCTAAATTGTACCCAGGTGCGTGATAGTAACTATTATAGTAGTTTAGTTTATTTATTAAAAATAATAATTGTTTAGTTATTAAATTAATAGGAAGGGGATTCACCATGGTTAATAAATTGTTTAAAAAATAAATAAAATTACTAAACTTAATTAATTAATTAATTTTTATATTACTTAATAGTTGCAACAAAAATAATAATTATAAATATTTTTTTGGTTATATATTATTAGTTAATTAATTTTTATAATAATAATAATAATAATAAATACAATACAAAATTATTCTATTATTATACCCAACAAAAAAATAAATTATATTATAATTACTATTAAATTATTAATTTTTTTAAATATCATATTTGTTTGTTTTGTTACTGAAAAAAACTGATTACCAGGATTTTGGGCCATTAGTTATCATATATTGGTGTTCATTATGGTATTTGCCTGCCTTATAGTCACTGTTTTCTCAACAATTCATGAATTTCATAATGGTTTGTATTATTTTGATATATATATATACAGTATATTTGATCATCAAATTTGCTAATAATTAAATTGAAATAAAAAATTATAACAAACAAAATAAATCTATTAATTTTAAAAAAAAATATATAAAACATTTAATAATTTATATTTAATAATAATTAGATTTCAATGATTTTTTAAAAAAAAACATTGAAAACTAATAGATATAATCAAAAACAAAATATAATAATTAAAAAAAATTAATTTAATTATAAATCGCAAAAAAATTAATTAATTAAAAATTAAATCATAATTTTTTTTAGAAAAAAAACTAACAAAACAAACAAAAAATAGTAAAAATTTCCACATAATAAACAGCAAAACATATTATAGAAAATAATAAATAATTATTTTCCAATAATAATAATAATTATTATATTTTTAATATATATTTTTTTATTGGATAACCATAAACAACACACCTATAGCTGCCATGAAATTTCTATATCTATTGGAAAAAGTCATAATCATATGGTTTAGCGGGGAATTCCTGTTGCGCTGGTGGTCGGCCAGCTGTAAAAATCAATACCAGGGCTGGAAAGGCAAAATCAAATACCTGTCCGTACCCTCGCGACTAATGGACATCATAGTCATTGCCCTATCGCTGGGTGTCCTGACATTCAATCCGAGTTCGGGTCACGAAGTTTTTGCCGCATCGGCTTTCCGCGGGTTTCACCGTTTTTTCCAAGTTTTACAGATACTTACGCTAAATAAACAGTTGCAGCCCTGGAAGGTGTTGAGCTCAGTTATCTACGATCAGAGGGAACAGTTGTTTATCATATTCTACATTGAATTTATTGTATTGTGTATATTGGCCTACATTTCCTATATAGTGGAAAAAGATGATAATCCACAGTTTGATAGTATTGCCGAAGCCATGTGGTGGGCGGTAATGATCATTACATACCTATCCTTATACTCTCTCATACTCTCTCATACTCTCTCATACTCTCTCATACTCTCTCATACTCTCTCATACTCTCTCATACTCTCTCATACTCTCTCATACTCTCTCATACTCTCTCATACTCTCTCATACTCTCTCATACTCTCTCATACTCTCTCATACTCTCTCATACTCTCTCATACTCTCTCATACTCTCTCATACTCTCTCATACTCTCTCATACTCTCTCATACTCTCTCATACTCTCTCATACTCTCTCATACTCTCTCATACTCTCTCATACTCTCTCATACTCTCTCATACTCTCTCATACTCTCTCATACTCTCTCATACTCTCTCATACTCTCTCATACTCTCTCATACTCTCTCATACTCTCTCATACTCTCTCATACTCTCTCATACTCTCTCATACTCTCTCATACTCTCTCATACTCTCTCATACTCTCTCATACTCTCTCTTACTCTCTCTTTCTCTCTCTTTCTCTCTCTTTCTCTCTCTTTCTCTCTCTTTCTCTCTCTTTCTCTCTCTTTCTCTCTCTTTCTCTCTCTTTCTCTCTCTTTCTCTCTCTTTCTCTTTCTCTCTCTCTTTCTCACTCTTTCTCTTACTTTAGTTATGAATATTTTTTTTCTATATAATAATTGTTTGTTTCAATTAGTTGATTACACTGTCGACTATTGGCTATGGAGACCGAGTGCCGGTAATTATGATATTTATTATATATTATGAAAATAAATACTTTAAAATAGTTATTACATATACAGTATATATAGTAATTAACAGTGATTTTTGTTGTTGTTATCATATAGTTATTGTTTAGTATATTTTTTATATTAATAATAAATTAATTAATAATATTTAGAAATTTATTAATAATTATTTATTTTTTGTTAGAAAATAGTTTTCAAATTTAAATTTTTTTTGTTTTGTTGAGATAATTATTGACATAATTTAATATCAATGTCCTAATTATTACAATTAATAACTATATATATATTAAATATAATCAATTATCATTAAATAAAATTATCAATTTATTAGTATTATTATTATTATACTGTCTATCAATTGTCAATTGTTTGTATAGTTTGAAAAATTATAATAATAACTTAATTGTCATTTAATATTTAGCATTTAGCAAAAAAAATAAATTATAGTATTAATTGGATAAATAATTATTATATATCTATAATAACAAAAATTAAATAGCAGCAGTACTTAATAATAAAGTACAATTATTATCATAATTATTATTATTAATTATTAATTACCCAGATCATTGATTATCATAATCAATAAATAGTCCATTGAAACAAAAAAATACACCCAGATTAATTTATTATTAGTTATTAACAATATATATATATATGTTTTTATCATAATAAGGATACTTATGGATATAATATTATAGATATGGATATTGTTTTGAAAAAAAAATAAAAACAATTTAAAATGGGATATAATTATCAATTTTATCAATAATAGCAACAACTAGCAAACTATAGAAAATATATTTTTTTCAACAAAAATACTTAATAAATATCTAATAAATATTTTTCAAAAAAAAACCCGAAAAAATTCTAAGTAATAGAGTTTATAACTAATGAAAACTAATAAATAATTTTTATTTATTAACAAAAATAAAATTAATTAATTTCATCAAATAGAAAATGTTTATTTATTTTTTTAGTGATTAATAATTAAACTCAAAAGAAAATTGAAATATTAATTAGTTTTAATATTATTATTAATAATATCTAATTTAAAATAAAAAATTATTAACAAAACAAAAACTAATAACAATTAAATCTTTACTTTTAAATTAATTTTAAAAAAATCACTATTAATATGCTTTTTCAATAACAACAACAACTACTACTACTACTACTACTACTACTACTACTACTACTACTACTACTACTACTACTACTACTACTACTACTACTACTACTACTACTACTACTACTACTACTACTACTACTACTACTACTACTACTACTACTACTACTACTACTACTACTACTACTACTACTACTACTAAAACAATATCAAACAAACAATATATCTATATTAATTATTAATTAATTAATTAATTATTATTTATTTACATATACACCCACACATACACCCACCGTACTATATTGAAATACACACCCACCCATACAACCACACATACACCCATTCACCCATACATACACACACACACACACACACATACATCCAACCAACCAACCAACCATCACTAAAATATATATATATATTTATATAGATAACATGGTTGGGCAAACTTATATCCAGCTTGTTTACCGTATTGGGTGTGGCCATATTTGCACTGCCGGCGGGTATAATCGGTACGGGACTGGCCCTGAAAGTGGAAGAAGAGGAACGTAATCAGCAGAGGAAGAAAAAAAAAGTTGCCGCCGCTGTACTCATACAGTCGATGTGGCGATGCTATAAAGCCAATGCCAACTATCAGGCGGTGTCGACATTTTTCAAACATAAACCCATGGATCTATTCAAACAACATGATTATGAAAATGTTGCCAACAAATTTATTAGGTAGGTTGGTTGTTTTTTTTGTTGTTGAACCGATTGCCATCCCTACCACAGGATACCCCGACCCTGAGTCCGCCAACACTAGGTGGGAGGTAGGGTGGGGTTAATACAGTTAATGGTTGGGGATAGAGAGAGGTTAGTTCAATTAATGGTTTGGGTAGAGAGGGGTTAATACAGTTAAAGGTTGGACGGGTAGGGAGGGAGGGGTTAGTACAGTTAATGTTGGGGTTATGGAGGTGTTAATAAAGTTAAAGGTTTGGGGTAGGAGTTGTTAATACAGTTAAAGGTTGGGAATAGGGAGGGGTTAATGGAGTTAATAGTTGGGGGTAGGGATGGGTTTAAACATTTTAGTAGTAACGGTAGACAATTGGCAAACAAACAGTATATACTATATATATATATATATATATATAGAGTATATTCAAATAACTTTATTATAACTTTTTGTTATATTAATTTTTTTTGTAATCTTATTTAAACATCATTATTATTATTATTATTTAGTATTATTATTATCATTATTATATCATCATTATCATCAAACTGTTTGGGGGACAGACAACCCATGATGGGTGCCAATGGTGTTCAACACATTGACTGTTGACTTTAGACCCCATAAAATCACACATTCAATATACCCCTCCCTTACCCCCAGCTCCCCATTCGGGAAAGTTAGTCCCGATAAATATATATAACTAGACTTGAAATATTAACTATTAATTAGTTTGTCTAAACCCAGTTGTCTCCCATTTTTTTCAGGTTAACCCGTTTTTTCATAGCCCGCCAACGATTCAAGGAACTCCTACGGCCAGTAGACATCAAAAACGTGCTGCAAAGCTATAAAGATGGACAGTTAGATGTTATGGCAAAAGTTAAACAAATTCAACGATCAGTGGATAGGATTGTCCAGAAAATTGCTGGAAATGAACAACAAATTTATGGCCAAAATAGCCGAATGGATGATAAATTGAATCGTTTAGAGTCAACACTGGCCGGTATTAGACAACTATTGGACAAACAGTTTGAGGCCATCGATCTGATTGTTGGCCGTATAGCTGATAGTCAACAGTTTGTCGATTATATTGTCGGCACCGGTAGCCGCACACAATCGTGTAGTTGTCAGTGTCATATAAATAATACTAATACTAATCATAGTCACAGTGATAATAATAGTCGTCCCGATAGGACAGGTAGTACTACTAGTAGTAGTAGTAGTAGTAATAATAATAATAATACTAATTATAGTTTAAACAGTTGCGATAGGAGGACATCCCTATAGAGTGATAGTTAGATAAAAATTATTATTTTTTTTTGTTAATATTATTATTAAATATTTAATTAATTAATTAAATTTGAAGAATATTTTTATTATTATTATTATTTAATAATATTTCATAATTTTATTTTATATCTATATATATATATATTGTATTAAAATTTTTTTTTCTTAATTATATATATATATATTATTGTAAACATATGGATAACTAATTGACAAAAAAAAATTCATTATCATATTTTTTTTAATTAACTAAATAGTAGTGTTTTTAATTAATTAATTAATGCATTTATTTTATTTTTTCAAAAATAATTATTAATATTTTGTATTTATTTAATTATAAGATATCATATATATATATATTTTTAGTAGTTTTTTATTATTTAGTTATCATATTTCAATTGTTAACATAATTATGTTATTAATATTATATAATATGTATGCAATATATTATTATAAATTAATAATAATAATAATAATATTTTTTTAGTCAATTATTAAAAAAAATTCATTGTTTACTGTTGTGTAAAGTAATCTCACATATATTTAGAAAATAATAAAAATAAATTTTGTAAATATAATTAAAAAAAATATTTATATATATTTTTAACCTGAAAAAAATCTATACAGATTTTTTTTATTACTAATAATAATAATAATAATAAACAATAATATTATTTTAAGCAATCAATATAAGTATTTTTTGCATATTATTTAATATTTATTTAATTAATAAAGTTTTATATTAATATTATAAAAATATGAAAAATTAATTTACAATTACAAAATTATTATTTAACTTTAATTTAAAATTCATTGATTTTATTTCATTAATAATTATTATTTAATAGTTTTATTTAATTAAAAGTTAATAACCTATATATAAAGTTTTATATTAATATTATTATAAAATCGTGAAAATTAATTTACAATTAATTTATTATTATTATTATTTATTAAAAAAATCATTGATTTTATATTAATAATTAATTATAATATAATTATTTGTCACATTTAAAAATTGCATTTAAAATTACATTAAAAAAACTAATTATTTTAAATTATTTAATAATAAATCAATCAATTGATTTTGTCTTAACAATTGTTTATCAATTGATCCGATAATCTCATCCATTTGATCCAATCTGTGATTTAGATTTGATTGACATTTATCTTGAAATAATTTCTGGGCCAACGATTTATCCGTTAATTTATTAACTTTTTGATGAATACTATTTAAATTGGTTTCCAATTGGCGACGTTGGCACCGGTAGGTACTGTAATCACTGTCCAAATCAATAGTATTACCACCACTACTACTACCTCCACCACCACTACCACCACCACCACCTCTACCTCCTCTACTGTTTGGAAACAATTTGCGAAACTTTCGTTTGGCGACCAAAAATCGGGTATTAGTTACAAACTGGTCGACCAGTTGTTTGCCAGTGGATGATCGGCTACCGGCAGTAGTAGTAAATGGTTGGCCGGTTGGTCGGTTAGCACCAGTAGTTTTCAACTGTGCCGATGATGCCCGTGAGCACCGGTAGGTTGACTGCAATCGCCACATAGACTGCAACAATACAATAGCGGCCAATCGTTTTTTGCCTTTCAGCCGCTCGGCTGCGTGTTTATCGACTTGGATGGCCAGTCCGGCACCGATAATACCGGCCGGTAAGGCAAATAAGGATACACCTATTATGGCAAACAAGCTGGCTATTAGTTTGCCCCACCATGTTACCTTTTTTTTTGTTATAAAAAAAATAATTAATTAATTATAATTATTGTTTTATTTTTTGAATTTTATTAAATATATATAAATATATAATAATATAAATTGAATTATAAAATATATTATTAATGAATATTATTTATATCTAATGTATTTTTTTTTGTATACAATAATTTTTTTTCAAAAAAATTGATATTTATTTTCTACTTTTTATTATATATTTATATATGTTTGTTTTATAATATATATATATATATAAATATAATTATATATATACTGTATATTAAAAGTAATATGACTTACATGAACCCTATCTCCATAGCCAACAGTTGAAAGTGTTATAACCTATTAATTGTTTTTTTTATAAATATAAATAAATAATTAATTAATTAATTATCAAATATTTTTTGTTAATAAATAAATAAATGAAAAAAAGTGAAAATGTTTTCTGGAAAAAATATAGTGTAAATAATTTTTTTTTAAAAACAAATAATTTTATCTCTATATTATCAATATCTAATAATTTTTTTTGATAAAAATATTATAGTATCAGAAAAATACATGTATTAACTAAATGTTAAAACTGTTTTCCTCTATATATACAGTATATACTAGTTATTGATAAATATCTACATAAAAAAATTTGTTTTGTTTATTGTTATTATTATTATCATTATATACAATATATATATATATATATATATATATATATATATATATATATATATATATATATATATATATATATATATGTTTACTGATTAGTAGATGAATTACATAAAAATCAATAATTATTAGTTAATATATTATTTTAATAACTTATGATAAATAATTTATATATATATATTATTGAGATATTAAATATCATTTATAAGTTGTTATAAAAACTAAAAAGGAGTCAATGATTTTTTGTTATAAAAAAATTATTATTATTATTATTATTAGTTTTTATATATATAAGTATTTATTTATTATAAAGTATATATACAGTAGTTTACAGTATAATACTATATAAATACTGTAATATTTAATTATAGTTATAGATATTTAAGTGTCAAATAGTTTGATAGTATTTAATAGTTAAAATTGTTTATTTATTTATATTTTATTATATATATATATTAACCAGACATTGACATATACGGGTTGGCATAATCCAGTATTGGCCAGTTATAGGCAACTGATTTATCAATAAATAACTAATTATTATTATTATTATTATTATTATTGAAATTGTAATAATACTAATAATATTTACTGTATTATTATAAATATTAGTTACATTTATTATTAATTAATTATATTTATTATTTGTGTTATATTTTCCATATTAAACAGTATATTAATAGTATTAATTAATTTAATATTAATTTAATAATTATAAATAGATTTATAAATAAATTATTATTTAGTAAACTAATTGCTATTAATTATTTAAATATTAATTTTTTGATAAAAAATATTATTATTAAATAAATAATTTTAATTTACTTATAATCTTAAAGTTAGTTATCTATTATATTATTAATATTATTAAAAAAATAGATTTTTTAAAAATAATAACTTAATATAATTTTTTTTAAATAACTTAATTTTCTATAATGTGTTAAAAAATAATAATTAAAAAAAATAAATAATTATTATTTCAAATTATTTTTTTTCAAGACAACACCACTTACCGACCACCACAACGATTCGGCCAAACTGGTCATCTGGCTATCGGAGACATCCCTTTCCACTACATAGGATATGTAGGCTAGGACTAGTATGCAGGCCAGCTGTACGTAGACAATGATCAACAATTGATGCAACTGGTCGCCAATGACATCCCATAACAGTCGCCAGGGCTGGTGTTGCTGCTGATAGTGTACTAAATCCTCGTCCATCACTACCGATTCCTCCCGGAGCGCCATCAGCTGAAACATACAGAATGTCCGATGAAAGCCACGCAAGGCTGAAACGGCAAATACTTGACTACCGTGTCGGGTGTCGGCACTGAGGACAACAACCGACAATAGTATGATACAGACATCCATGCAATGGGATGGTTGTCTTAGATACCGGAGTTTTCCCAGCCATCCGACATACTGGCGCCTACACGAGGCCGACCATAGCCGGACTAGGAATTCACTGAGAAACCATAGGACAGTCGACTTTTCCATAATGGCCAGTATGGGTCCAATGGTTGGTGCGTACGGAGCACAGGTGGACAGTATGGTAAGTATTAGACAACAGATAACCAATACAAATACCAGTAGATGATAGCTAATGGATAGTACTGTATGTGAGGGGCGATGAAAAAACTGGTAGACCCGGTATTGTCGGCTATAGACTAGTGTAGTATTACCGATAGCAGCACCGGTAGTTTGTTGTTGTTGTCGACAAAAGTCACTTTGATTTTGTTGTTTATATCGTTGTCGGCGACGTTGTTGACAATCGCCCATCAATTGCCTAATCATTGGTAAATCGTTGACTATTTGCCGACGATGTCTATGACGACTATAATCCCGGAGCCACTGTACGGGTAGACTATTGTATAGTTTTCGTGTAGTGGTGCCAAACAATAGGCTACCACCGGTGCCCATACCTCCTCCTCCATCAGCAGCAGCCGATTGTTGTTGTTTTTGTCCAATAATTTCATAGTCATAGCACCTATTGATTGTAAAACTACGTGTTTTTTCTTCAACTAATAAACTATTATCAAAATCATCATCTGTTTGATGAAACATTTTATAATAATTTAAAAAAATAATATTATTTTATTTAATACACTATAATAATATAAAATATAAGATATATAATAGTTTTTTTTATTTTATAATAAAACATAATTAATTATAAAACAAAATTTTCATTATTATTATTATTATTGCTATTATAATATTATTGATTAATTTTTTTATAATAAAAAAATTATAAATAATTAATTGTTAGACACATTTGATATGATATTTTACTGCTATATAATACTAATAGACTGTATATAATTTGTAGACATATAGATAGATAGATAGAGGACAGGGAGGTATTATTATTATTATTTAAGGTATCTCTCAACATTGATTGATTAGTTTTTAGCAAACAATTTATATATAAATATAAACATAATATTTGATAGCAATTAAGGATTTTTATTGATTAATATACACACAATATATTTATAATATTTATATATCAAGTTTGATACTATTGTTATTAAATACTTGAAATTATAATAATTATTATTTTATTTAATTTCAGTTATCAATAATTTATTAACTGTTGATAATTAATAAAATATAATAATATTGTAATAATAAAAATTAGTTTCAATTATAATTAAATACTTTATATATGATTTAATTTATTTTTTTAAAGTTGTTAACATTTAAAATAAAATTATAAATTACTTATAATTTTATTTTATTTACTTTAATTATATTTCATATATATATATAATTTTTATAACTATTTTTTGTTTTGTTTTTAGCGCTTAATATTATCGTAATAATAATAATAATAATAATTAAAACACTAGTACCATCTGGGTCTATTGAAAATTAACTAAATTATTATTATATTATTATTATTATAATTAATATTAATACGAAAGTTAAAAATTATTATTATATAAATTATTATAAACAAACATTAAAACTTATAGTTATATAAATTAATTGACTTATAATATAATTTATATTATATAAAAAAACAAACAAAAAATTGAAATCAATTTCAAAAAATTAAATTATTTATTTATAATTTGATACTAAAATATATTTATGAATTTTATTACTAAATGTTTTATAATATAAAATTTATATATTATTTTAATATTATCAAAAAAAATATTAAACTTTAATAAAAACAAAACTTAACATTTATATAATTATTTTTTTAAAAATATATTTAAAATATACTAAAATTTTATTTTAAAAAATATTATTATTATTATTATTTAAGAAGCATTAGTCGGCTAAGTTCGGCCACTTTTTCGGGACCATATAGTTTCTCGACTATGGCCAGTGCCCATTCAAAGGACGTACCCGGTCCTAGACTGGTCACTAGCGGACCATCGACTACAACCCGAGAGTCGGCAACAAACCGGAAGTTCGCGTCATCGGCTAAACCGGCGGATTTCAGCGGATGACATGTCAATCGGCGTCCGTAGCCTACCCGGTGACTCTGGAAAGCCAAAGGTGCCGCACATATAGCTGCGAGTATACGATTGGCCTGGTAGTGTCGCCGCAGTAGTTGACCAACAATTGCCGATTCGATTAGTGCCGGTGCGGCACCGAAACCGCCCGGCAATATCACGGCATCGTAGAGCTCCTGATCGCCGATGTCGGCCACGTCGATGTCGGGTACCATATGTAGACCGCGACTACATTTTACTGGTTGTTTGCCGCCGGCCAGTCCGCCCACTGTGACGTCCACCTGAAATATTCGGCAAAATTGTTTATTTGTTAGCCGAAAGAGAGAGAGAGAGAGAGAGAGAGAGAGAGAGAGAGATCGGGTATGTATTAGTCAAAAGACATATATAAATAGCTAACTAACTCTCTGTCTCTCTGTCTCTCTGTCTCTCTGTCTCTCTGTCTCTCTGTCTCTCTGTCTCTCTGTCTCTCTGTCTCTCTGTCTCTCTGTCTCTCTGTCTCTCTGTCTCTCTGTCTCTCTGTCTCTCTGTCTCTCTGTCTCTCTGTCTCTCTGTCTCTCTGTCTCTCTGTCTCTCTGTCTCTTTCTATACAAGTGATGGATCAGTTGGTTAATAGACAGTCACTTACACCGGCTCTCCTCAAGACATCAAACGATATGGAAGTTTCCATTTCTTCCGCCCCTTCCGTCAGTATTATCAGTGCTGTCGGTGTCGCCATCACAGGTGTTGGTGATGGTGCGGGTGATGATGACTGTACGTCCAGTTAGTTGTTTGAGAACCGGTAGCTATTGATAATTAGATGACAACTTTTTTTTTGCAACATTTACTACAAACTAAACACTATTACTAGAAATAATTATTAATTTTTTGTTGTTGTATTAAATTAAATAAACTTTTATATACTGTATATAATATACTCATATCTCTATATATTTTTAATATCAGTCTCTCTCTCTTTCAATGTATTTATTATTATCAGTAGTTAATTCAAAATCAATTTTGAAGGTCAGGTATGGATTTTATTACATACATAAGCTATTCAATTATAAAAAAAACTGTACTTAAATTTAGTACTAAATAAAAACTTAACAATCAATAATAATCGTCACAAAAATTTATATTTTACTTAAATTTAAAAAAATAATAATAATTGTTTGATTAGTTTTTAGATTTTTTTTTTATGATAATAGTTTGCAAAATCAAATAATATATTTTAAATAATTAGCTAATTGTAAAAAAAAATATTATTTTTTCAAAAATTATTTTTTGTAACAATCATTAAATTTAAGTTTAAGATAAAATCTTATTTAAAAAAAATATATAATAATAATTAATACTATTTAAAATACAAAACAAAATTAACTTATTTAACAAAAAAAAAACTGTAAATAATTATTTAAATAAATTGATAGTTTAAATATTTTTAAAAATTAATTAAATTTTAGTCCCATTCGCATTATTTGAGTTTTTTATATATATAAATATAATAAAATTTAAATTAAAAAAAATATTTATAATAAATATAAAAACAAACTAAAATTATTATAATTTTAAATAAAAATATTTTGTATTAAATTATTTATTTTTTTTTAAATATAGATAAATATATTAATTATTAAATAATAAAAAGTATAACAAAATATTTTACTAATATAATTAAACAAAAACAAAAATTAATATTTATTTTAAAGTATAGTATAATTTGTTAATTAAAAACTTAATAAACTTAAAATATAATTATTATTATTATTTAAAAAAATATAAAAACTGTAAACAAATATTTATAAAAAAAATTATAGTTTAAATATTTTTAAAAATTAATTAAATTTTAGATTTACGGACTACTAGTTAATATTTTTAAAAAAAAAACAAATATACAAAAATTAAAATTAAAAAATATTTGTAATAATTATAAAAACAAACTACAATCTATGATTACTGATAACTTACAATAATTTAATTAAAAAAAATAAAATAAATAAAATTCATAATTAAACTAACTAGCTAAACTTATTAATATTTTTAGTTTTTTTTTAATTTTTGTTGTTAATAAAAATATATAAAAATCTATTATCTTATTTAATACTGTATAATGATTTTTATGATAGTGTACGGGGGGGGTACTAGGTTAACCCGGGGGGGGGGGGACACATACACATAGACACACGTTAATTATATTGTAATTAATAGAAATAATTAATTGCCAATAGTAACGGCTCGGTAGCCTAACAAATACTGATGGCCAGTACAGTGGCTACCAGTGCTGACCATATAGTGATCAACCAATTGACTAGACATACGGGATGATCGATTCGGTGGACTGGCTGTACGGACCAGATAGTGGCCAACCATTGAACAACAGGATAGACAACTATAGTCCAATAGGGATCAGTAGTTAGCAATAGTTGACCGATAATACCCATACAGTTGCCGATGACTATCCATATAGTGATTGAATATATTATTAGTTTAGTAAACTATATGTTAAATAAACGAATGGACAGTTAGATAGTTAGAGGACAGTCATGTATTAGTAGTAAAATTACTTTTGTTACTTACGTTATCATTATTATTATTGTCGTCAACAGGATTTAATTTCAGACAATACCCATAATACCCATACAGTTGCTGATGACTATCCATATAGTGATTGAATATATTATTAGTTTAGTATAAAAAAGACAAACTTTGATCCGTTAGTTAGTTTCAGCGATAATAATCCTAATAACGATAATAACGATAATAATCCTAATCCTAATACCTAATATTATCTACTAAATTGGATATAAAATCATTATAGCGATTTAATAAAAAATGACTTGCTATTTGATGTCAATAGCAAATATTTTTTATGAAAAAACTTAAAAACTTTTTTTTTTTTTTTAAAAAGCAATTCAATCAACAAATTAAACAAATCAAATTAAGACTACATTATGTATTAGCACCAGGGTTTTTCAAGAAAATAAATGCCTGCCCTGGCAATGCCCAAATAGATGCCATAAATGCCTGGCATTTTGGGCATATATTTTATTTGCCTGCCAATTTAAATTGCTAAAAAGCAACTGTATTTATAAAAATAATGTAATTTAGTATTTTAACGTGTTAATTAAATTTACAATTAATTTACTTATTTCCAATGATATTACCTTTTAATTTAAAGGTATACAAAACAAAAATACAAGAAAATATATTATAAAAACAATGTTTTATAAATTAATTAATAATATAAAATTAAAATAATAGGTGTCACCACCTGAAAATAGATGCCCAGGGCATGGCAGAGGCAGGGCAGAAATTTGGCAAAATTGGCATCTATTGTTTATGCCTGCCATTTTTAATACCCTTGTTAGCACACAATTGTTGTATGAAATTATGAATTAAACTAAATGATTGATAATAATTGTTTAAATTATTAATATGCCAATAATTATGTCAATTGTATGGGTAATTTTACGTTTAACAAATAACAATTAAAAAAAACAATATCAACAAATTACTTGGATGTATTTTTTTATTTATGTTAACCAATGTTTATCATATGCTAATACTTAATAGGCAAATATTTGTTTGCATTAAAATTTATCAATCAATTATTTAAATTGTATAAACAAAATCATATGAATGATATTAGGTTTTTCATTTTCAGTTTGGAAATTAATGGAAGATTTTTAACACATTTAAAACTTTTTATAGTTTTCATCCATTAAATTATGTTACAATTAAAACTGAAAGAAAAGATTGTTATATCAAAAAAAATCTGTTGACAGCTAACAAATTGGTTACGATATATAGATCAACAATAATGTGTTGTTTTATCCCAAAAAATCTAAGAAACTTGTTTAACAATCATCATGACAGTGGACTACAGTAGACTTTTTTAGGACAAAGAGATATTTTAACAAATGGCTATAATTTATTTGAAGCTATTATTTTAAAAGCAATTTTCTACTATATATATACTGATGAAGGATTTGATGAGATTATTGATTGTCGAAACTCTTTTGCAGACAATGTATGCATTGAAAACAGAAAAAATGTGTACGAAAATCGCATATTTTATTTTATTATGAAATATATGATGAACTATATGTTTTCAAATACTTGTGAAATCATTGCTGTGAATACTTATGAGATAAAACTTTACTAATATATGGACTACAGCTAAGCTTATCTTAACTAATCAATTAAATATCAATACTAATCATTTAGTTAATGATTTATTGAAAACATCAAATAATTTATATCAAATATTATACAATCGTTTAATGGATGTTTTAATTAATAAAATTAATTTATTATTTATGATACATTTATGTCATATGATACTTTTATTATCCATTTTTTCGTATCAATGTTCAGATCGTTAACATTATATAGGATTTCATTTTCGACAATAAAGTTGACATTACGCGACAAAGTGGCCGCCGATACTATTATGTTGTGAATTATAATGTCAGAAGTCATTTCAGCAATTGTTGAACTGGTGTTCGAAAGATAATTCTCTGTAGTTTTCAATTCAGTTTGAATTTGAGATCCGATAACTAAGACATTCATTTAATTTATTATGAAAATCTAAATTATTAATAGATTTTTTTTAATTATTTTATTTCAAATATTAGTTATATATATATATATATAATATAAACTTACTTTAGTATTATCAGCCAATTTACTCAAACAATAAGAGTTAATAACAATTATTGAAAACTTGTCAAACATTAGGTTTTTAAATATTAAAAATCAATTCGGGATTTGTGACCAAAAATTTTTGAACATTTTTCACGTCCATCACTGAACTAATACCGAACAGATTATATTTTTTTAAAAAATATTTTATAATTTAATATTTTATAGAAATACTTCAGTAAAACATATCTTGTTATTAACACAAAAGTAAATAATTATTAAATTATAATTATTGTAAACATTCTAATGTAACGTCATATGTGAAACATTAAACAATGAATCATATTATTGTTAAAAATAATACTTTTACAAAACATTACAAAACTATTAGTATACAGTAAGTAATATTTAATTTAAAATTTTTTAATTAAATTTATTTTTATAAAACTTAATTCTAGTTACACAAAATTTAACTATTTATTTTTAATTAAAAAAATAAATAAAAAAAAACAATTTATAGCAATAATCTGTTAAATTGTTTGACTATGATATCTATCTGTGCGGTGGTCTCAGCGATCAAACCTATTTGGCCCGTTGTCTCCAATATGATACCTAAGCAGGTATTTGGCTAATAATTAGCTAATTGTAAAAATAAAATATTATTTAAAAAAAATATTTATTATAAATGTTTAAATTTGTTTATTTGTTTTTTGTGATAACAATTATTAAATTTTTAGATAAATATCTTATTTAAAAAAATATAATAATTATTATAATAATAATTAATACCATTTATAAACAAATCAACAAAATTTACTTATTTAACAACAAAAAAATTGTAAATAAATATTTAAACAAATTGATAGTTTAAATATTTTTAAAAATTAACTAAATTTTAGTCCCATTCGTATTATTTGAGTTTTTTTATATATAAATATAATAAAATTTAAATTAAAAAATATTTGTAATAAATATAAAAACAAACTAAAATTATTATAATTTTAAATAAAAATATTTTGTGTTAAATTATTTTATTTTTTTAAATATAGATATATATATTAATTATCAAATAAAATGTATAACAAAATATTTTTTTAGTATAAATAAACAATACCAAAAAATTAATATTTATTTTATATAGTTTATTATAATTTGTTAATAATAATTAATAATTAAATAAATTTAAAATAAAATTATTATTACAAAAAAACTGTTAATAAACATTTGTGTATAAAAATTATTAATTTAAAACTATTATCAAAATATAGTTTTTAGTTCTATATA